TAATTTATAATTTATAATTGTATAAATTATAACAGAGGACTCAAAATCATCCAAGCCAAGACTGACAGTCCTTTGATCCTCTGTTCATGAGGGAAAATTTTTGAGGTTTGTATTACAGAAGTCACCATGCAGATGTTTTTAATGCCTCAAGTAAAATATGGTTGCTGTATCGAGGCAAAGTGGCAAATTAATTGTTATCTCTTGCATACAGTCTTTCTTTAGAAAAAAGTGCACTGATTCTCACAAAAAAAAAGGTACTCTTTAACAGGAATAAAACTTTTGCTTTTTTGTTGTGTTCTCTTTTGTTTGCATGTCAGTATTGAAAAATATTAAATTTTGGGAGTAGTAAGAGCCTAATTTCCTTACTGAAGTGAGACATACATGTTTGCTGTCCCAAAGAGGGTTGAACTCTCAGTAAGATGTAGGTATGTTCTCTTTTTTTGAAAGAAGAGCAAAAATCTAATCAGAAATTATTTTATGATTTTATTCATTAAATGCTTCTACTTGACCTTTTCCCACTGCATAGTTTTTGAAGAGTTTTGCTTTCATTTTTTAGCAGTCTTGGTAGTTACTGTTTCCTGTACTTAATAAAAAATAAGTCCATTAATTACTACTTACACGAGGCATATTGAAATTTTGTTTGTGCTGATTTGATCTTGATGGACCCTTTAAAAATAACTTTACATTGATAATAAATTTACATTGATAAATTTACAGTGGATGAATTACTGTTTAGGTCCATATCTTTCCTGAAGCTCACTAAAAGAAATTTCCCCTGAAAATTCTCTGAGGAATTTTGAAAAATCCAATTTCAGGTGTTTATCTCCACTTTCTAAAGTACCTGATTTATATTTGCAATGCTGTTTGGGGGTTATGAATTACTGGTTTATGATCAATGCTTCCATCACCTCTTTCAATTATTTTCTGAACAATTAGTTCCCCCAAGTGGCTGCATCACTGCAGCCTTGCTTTGCAAATCTTCAGGGATGGTGTCCTCTGTGGAACAGAATGACTGAGCAAAACCAACAAAGATAACCACTGGACTTGCAGTGGTTATATCAAAATAATTTCCATTCTACTCACTTGCATCCTGTCAGATCACCAGGATGACGCCCACTTTGAGGCTGACATGATTGGTTGCTGAAACTAGCAGAGGCATAAAGAAGCTGAAATACAGTCTTTGATGATGTATCTAACAGTGGCTCTCCAAAAGAAGTTCTGTGCTCAAATAGGAATTAAATTCAATCATTTATTTGTGTGGTTGCAGAGGCCAGGCACCATTTTGAGCCCTTAGTTCTTATACTGCCATAGTGAGAAAAGTCTCTGTAGTTTCTTCAGCTGTAAAGGTGGAAAAGGTTATTAGTAATTACAGATGCTTTATGTCTAGCTTTCTTTATGCCCGTTTTTATTTCTTGATATGAAAATATTTTGATCTGCTTAAGACCTATTAATTTTGTTGACCTTAATATGAAATTAGTAGCTTATAACTTGAAAGGCTGTGCCTTCAAAAAATGGAAAGCTTTTAAAGTTCACAAACACTGCATGAGAGGTGCTAAAAAAGCATTTAGATCTGCTAGTAAATGTATTTTCAATTCACTGCAAAAGTGTCTAAAACTCTCTTATGTATATGTATTCTGACTCTTAGGAAAGACTTTGAAGACTTTCTTCCTTTATACAGTAGCACAAAAAAGGCTTTTTATAATAGGAGGTTGTGTTAAGCCATGCATTGCTCACATTATATATAGGAAGCTGCTTTTGAATAGTGATTACCTATAGTGATTTACCTATAGTGATTTTTGAATAGTGTGGCTAATACATTTCAGGTCTCGACTCAAAAGGTTGCCTCAAAGCTGTTGGTCACTCATGGTTCCCTACAGAAATAGTATTTCATACATATTTTAAAAGTTATTTGTGGTGGGACGATACAGAGATCCATGAAATCTTAATCTATGAGAAATCAAAAATTATATCTTAATTGTTCCTGTTGCTAATGCTGCTAATATAGTCACTAAATTTCTCACCATGTGTTAACTTGTGTTTAACGAGTTTGCTTTAGTATGGGTATTTTTTATGTTATACTTTTCTCTGGGGACAGAGATACTGAAGCCAAGATGCTGGTGAGAGTGATGGGCAGGTTAAAAGTTTTTTCCTTTTATCTAGTCTGTATCTGCTTTGTTTTAGTTTAAAAGCATTTTGCCTTGTCCTGTTTCTGCAAGTACTGTAAAAAAGTGTCTCTGTCTCTCATTCAGCCCCTTTCAGGTATTGTAAGGCCCCAATTAGGTCTTCTTGGGGCCTTCCCCAGACTAAATAACCCCATCTCTCTCTCAGCCTTTCCTCATACAAGAGATGTTCCATCCTTCTCATCGTTTTTGTTGCCCTTCTCTGGATTTGCTCCAGCAGGTCCGTGTCTTTCCTGTGCTGAGGGCCACAGGGCTGATGCAGTGCTGCAGGTGGGTCTCAGCAGGTCAGAGCAGAGGGGCAGAATCCCGTCCCTCCCCTGCTGCCCACGGTGCTCTGGATGCAGCCCAGGACACACTTTGGTTTCTGGGCTGTGAGTGCACGTCTGCAGCTCACGGTCAGCTTTTCATCCACCAGTACCCCCAAGTTCTTGGCAGAGCTGCTCTGAATCACTTTGGCCCTGCCTGTATTGATACCAAGGACTGTCCTGAGCCACGTGCAGGAACTCATGAGCTTGCCATGGGGCCACTTCTTGATCTTGTGCAGGTGCCTCAGGCATCCCATCCTCCAGGTGTGCCAGCTGCACCTCTCAGCTTGGTTTTGCCTGCAGACTTGCTGAGGGTGCACTGAATGCCGTTGTCTGTATGGACCCAAGGGACACCACGTGTCACCCATGTCCATGTGGGCATTGGGCTGTTCTCCACGAGCATCAGCCAATTCCTTATCCATCCAATAGTCCATCTGTCAATAGAGTCTGTACCTCTCCAATTTAGAGAAAAGGACTGTGTGAAAGGCCTCTCCTCTGTACACTTTCAAACAACAGAGGAAGGCAATTCTGGAAGCTGAGAAAGTAGTGTAATCTCATTTTTTTTCTTAAGTTATGTTAGATCTGGATAAACTTTGGCATATATCAATATATGGTTAATAGTGCAGAAAGGACATTTCAGGCAACAACAAGAAACTCAATTAGAGAGAAAACTGGAGAACTTCTTAAATGCAAACTATATACCCATGATCTTGGATTACTGTATGACTTACCTCTGCAAGGTGGTAAAAATAGTTGTAGCTTATTCCCATGCTGAAAAACGCCACTAGAAATTTTAATGTTGAACATCCTCTTTAATGGAGTCCAATTAATGTAAAAAAAAGTGAACCTTTGTTATTTCAATGTGCTCTTCTGCTAAGAGTCTTTTGGAGACCATTTAAGGAATCCAGAAAGCATCCCACTGCTCACAGAATTTCTTGAAATGCCCTATAATCCTAATCCCTTAAAATAATAAATTTGCACAGTCTGTAAAGAGGACTTTCCTAAATTATAAAATACTTATTGCACAACTAGCAAATCATATTTATGCTTAAGACAGATTTAATTATATATAGCTTTAAAGATGCAGCTTAAAGCTCCTAGAATTTTAACAAATTATTTTATTCCTCCTTTGGAACACCAGAATAAGTTTTGTAAGTGTATTTACACATTCTGTACCTTATTGTTTATGTGAATGATCTACAGAGCTTTTCCAATCTTGCATTAAAATACTTTGTTGTATAGTTTATTTTTCTATGCCAGTTTAAATTGCACAAAAACATTCTTAGATAAACATAATTATATTACTCTTTAAAAAATCAAGTACTAAAAAGGTAAGAAATATGAGATTCCTCTTTTGGCCTAAATGCTTCTCCTTTCCACCTCATGTGTAATGTTGGTTACCAGTCTTAAGTCTGCATTTAATTCCCATATCCCACTCTGACACTTTGGCCTGGACACTTTTCAAGTCTCATTTCTAGCCTTGTCCTTTTTCTGCTTGCCCTGTATATTCTCCTGTTTCTCTTCCACACTGTCAGCTCTGCAGTTCAGAGATAAGGAGAGGCCATTTCCTTTTCCCAGCTTGGGTGCTTGGGCCTAAAGCCATAGTTCAGGGAAAATCCAGCCCAGCCTGAGCAGGAGCACATTCAATAGGATGTAATCATTGGAAGAGTTAGCTGCTTGAAGTATCTACTGAACACATGCCCAGAGTCCAGAGCTTTGCCTAATTTGGGTAGTTTTCACAGATCAAAGAGACATTGCTGTGTCACATATGAAGGTCTTCACCTGATGCACAGATGTGTCACTAGATTTTTTTTTCTTTCCTTTACAATTTTTTAAAGCAGCCATACTGAGAATGGCTGGTATTTTCTCTTGAAATTAATTTTAGAAAATTTTCTGAATCAAATAACAATCAAAGAACATTCCAACCAGGTAGTTATTATTAGCAAAGGTAAAAACAACTGCAGATTAATTGCTGTAGTGTATAGAGCTGGAAACTCATGGTTTGTAGTCTTTATTACTGATCTCACTTTGCACAGGTGTTTGGCAAAACTGCTTTTGAACAAAAGTCCAAATTCTGTTTTCGATAATATCTGCAGTTTATTTGTATGGAATCATGGAAAGTGTAAATGAGCATAGAATTTAGCCCCTGTGTTAAAACTACTCAATAAAGCTACTGAATCTTCAGTTTTTGAAGCATTTTGTTTTGCTGCTGTTGACTGTCTGCTGTGACACAGAATCTAAACCATCCCATCTGTTTGCCACATTAACCAGCTTTGCTCAGTTATTAAGCTATCACCTTGCATTTGGCATGTAACATACTCAATTTTAAAGTGTATTTTGAGGAGAGAAAAATCGCAAAGAGCAAAAATCCATAGTTTTCTTAATGCATTAACTGTAAGTTAATGTTTTATTAACATTTTATATTGTCTTTTTCTGGGTTTTGTTGGTTTTGGGGGTTTGGTTGTTTTGGGGTTTTTTGTCCTGGTATCTATTTATAACTGAAGCACTTTTGCAGGTGGTGTTTTTTTGCATGCTAATCCTGCAGAGAAACATTGTGTCCAACAAAGTATGCTGGGTCAGCAAAAGCAAGAAACTTGTGCTGGAAAGACAGTATCCACAGGTATTTAGTGTGTATGGAGATTTGGCAAAATGAATGATAAACTATCATTGGCAGAAAAAGATCTGATGTTGTATGTTAGACAGTTGTGCATTTTTTTCTTTCCCACAGAAAAGATACTCTTCCTTTCAAAGTCAGCAAAAGACTCAGCAGTATTAATATTTATTGAATACTCATTAATCTTCAACTGTATTCTGCCTTGTCCTTCAAAACAAATTATTCTTTTTTTTGTGTTATTTTCTCTTATATATCAATTCATACACAAATGAAATACATATGTGCACAACTGAGGTGGACCTACAAGGATTATTTAAAAAATGAACACTATTACTCAGTGGTTTCTGTGGTGGCTATTTCGTGGTTATTTTCAAAATTGACCAGATAGTATTGAAAATTAAATTTCTTCTGATACATTCTATGGCATCTGAGTTCAGCAATGTTGTGTGCTTTACACAGGGAACCAGACTAAAGGAAGTTCATAAAATAAGGCAGACTAGGCTGAGGTAGACCAGACTTGGATGACTTGCAGGGGAACCATGAAGAAGCAGCAACCCATGGAAACTCCATTTCCTCCAGAGGACTCTTCCCAGCATGGATCTATCAGAGAATTTAGTGCATCATTGATTTTTGTGTTGGTGTGTCACTGTCCACTTCTACACAATTTTAAGGTTATTCAGAAGGGATGAAAGCTTACGATATCCTACAAGTATCAGAGGGATTTGATACTTGCAGGTCCTAGCATGGGAACCATTAATCTTTTAACAGACACTTTTAAAGTAAATAGGTTGAACTGCATTTGGTTTAGCCTTGTGTGTGATTATTTAAAAGTGTCTACCTGTTGCCCCAGCTCCACACTCATCTGAAAGATTGAGGACACAGCAGTTAAAAATGAGCTTCACATACTTCAGATATTAAATCTAATGCTTTCATTTATTTCCTTTGTTATTAATGAAAATTTTAAAGAAAGTATAAAAATTGTTGCCTTCCAGTGAAGGATTTGCAGATTTACTTGTAGAAAGAATGTTGTCTAAAACGAAGGACCATCCTCATAAATGCCATTGCAGAGCCTCCCTTAACTGAAACTTCCCCTTCTTGGGTGAAAGACTTCATGGCACAAAGGCTTTTCCTCAGGTCACAGATGACACAAGTCAAAATGAGTCCTTTGAATCAGAGACAGAAATAATTTGGAAGAAATGGAATGCCCCTGAGAGATACATTTGAGGTTTCCAAGCTGCTTTTGCACAAGCCAGCCAGAGCATATTCAAGTTCTTCAGTGTGGTGAAGACATGAATTACTATAGCTCTTGCTGTGTGCAAAGGGAGTTGTGGAAACTTCACCAGCTATAAATGGAAAACAGAATTTTGGTCACTCATGATACTTGAATGCTCTGGGTGGGGTCAGTAGAACCTCCAGTCTGAATTGACTGGCTGCTTTCTCCTGGTCCAAGATGCTAAGTAGTCTTGCACCAGTTCTTCCAATTAGCTTTCCCAGTCTGCAGGCAAAATGTTGTCAGAGCCTGGAGCATCATCAGGCAGCTAGTCTGCATCTAGCCCTGCTCTATATTTAGGCACTGGCTAAGCAGCTTAACTACAGTAGCTGTGTTGGAGGGCAGGGAAATGCAGAGTTGAGTATTCCTTTGCTTACCAGAAGCACTGCAATGAATATTTGTGCACTAAAATATCTAATGTAAACTTGTGAAAAAGGAGAACAAAAAAAAAAAAAATTGTACTGAAGGTTGGTACCAAGCACAGCTTGCCTGGCAAACTTATGATAAAATTACACTAGTTGGAAAAAGTGTCTGCATAAAAATCCCTTCTCAAGCAGTTTTATCCATTCTTAGTATTGTGTTACCTGTGTAAGAAGGGCATTGATCTAAACAGACCTTGTTTCAAAGAGAATCTTGTGTTTGATATTGGTGAAGGTCTTGGCTTTTAGAGCAACACTCCTGTGGAATGCTGTGGAGAAAATATGTGGAATAAATAAATTTGTGGAAAAAATTAATTTCCTTATAGAAAAGTGATTTTACTGCCTAATTCTGCATTAGGCAAGTCAATGCATTTGAGAAACATATGGTTCTTTTTAAAGTTAATGCCATACATTATTTCTACAAATATTTCCTCCTAACTTCAAATTAACCTTGCTTTTATGGCTGCCATTTGTAGAGATGACATGTCCACAGCAAACCTTCCACCTTTTCCTGTTACCATTGCTTGAAGAGTGGGTGCCTTGTAACTCAGAGTAGCAGGGGTAGTAATCTGCTGAAACTCCAGCATTCCTAAAAGTTTTATGCAAAACAATAAATGAAATTTTGAAATAAAAAAGGAGAGGAAAAAGAGAAATGAGAGAGAATGGAAACAGCTTCATGTTGAATATTATGACTTGGAGAAAGTCTTTATTGTCAGTGTATAACAAGCATAATCTGCATAAATAAGAACTGATTCTGTCCCCTAAAAGGAAAGTACACTTATTCTGTTGTCTGCTTTATTTAAGCTGTATGATTTGACCTGTAGCTATCATTAAAGTTCAGGGCTAGTTTGGTTAGTGATTACAATACTTCACATAATTTTATTTTTCTTCTCACAAGTACTTAAATTGTTTACTCAAAAGCAGCAGGAAGATACCTTGTAGGAAACAAATCATCATCTGACTAGCAGAAATCTTAGTAGCTGAAAATGTAAAAATTTATATATATTTAGTGACTAGATTAAAACAAAATTAAAAATTGAGACTAAAAACACTGTAGGGAAACAATTCTAAACATATCATGTTTCTCCTTTTTTCAGGTTGCACAAACCTGGATTTAGCCCTGTGTGCAGGGATCTCTGTTTATGTAGGACTACTGTTACTGTACAGTAACCCAGTCTGCACAGAATGTCTAGAAATTCAGAAGGTCTCTACAGCCATTGAGCAGAGAGAAAGTTATGGTGGTGCCCAGTAGTTTCACGTAACTGGAGTAAAAAAAGTGCATAATGGACTTGGGGTTTGATGCAACAGAAGGCAATAAAAGGATCAAAGGCTTATGCCCTGCATAGTTATTGCTCTATGAATCTGCTGATCAAAGAGTTTTGAAAAGCATCAGGTCTACCAAATATGAACAGTTCAGTTTATACGTGATTGCTCAGGGAATCCAGCATGTCCTGAAGGCAGTGGCTTTACTGCACATGTGCACACCATGAATATGTATATGTGTGTGTCCAGGAGTTCTGGTCATGAAACATGATAGGTCTGTAGATTTCAGTGCTTGTTGCAAAGTGAGTGATGTCTGAGAAGAACATCCAGGATTAAGATAAATTTACTGGAGTTTCCTGTGTTGATACTAATTCACAGTTACTTTTTTAAGTCCAGAATCACCTATAAATGCATTTGTAATACAAGTCTTTAAAATGGCAAGGAATGGAAACTTTCCTGTGGAATTATCGTACTACAGTATTTCAAGGTTGCAGCATTTAGTTTCACATATTCAATTCAAATGTGATTCCTCTCTCAAATGATTTTTGCTTATGTCCAAATTGCCTTTCTGCCTGGAATCTTTGTAGCTGAATTTTCAGTGGTTGCAATTTCCATTTTTCCAGGAAACCTATTGCAGGTTTGGAGAACTGGAAGCATCAATAATTGAATTTGAGAGTGGGTAATGAGACTGATAGGTGAAATGGTAGTGATACAGTTAACTATGTATCAACTCCTTTTCTGTGGAGTCTGAAAGGTCAGCAGGTGTCTTTGCTACCTAGTGCGTATTATAGCATATGAATTTTATCGTTTTCCTTTTGTTTGTTTTCATTATCCTCACATTTTTTACTAAAAACATTTGTGACTTTTATGAGCACAAGTAGAAACAGGAAGAAATTGTTATATAACCTTGATAAATTGCATCTTTCAAGGAAGTGTTTAAATCATTAACTGCAGTAGTTCTGTTGTGCATTAGTGTCACCTGAGTAATTTTTGTGATTGGGTATTAAACTGTAGTTAATATTCACATATTTTTTCAAGTCCTCTTTGATTTTATTATACATTGTTTGCATGTTTTGTAGGAGGAATTTTTCTAAGACTTCATCAGGCAAACTTTGATCTGTATCTGATAAAACCCACAAATTCTAAATAGTAGAGAATGTCTGAAAGATGGCATGATTCTGTTTGAGATACATGATCAGAGCTGGTGCTCAGAGAAGTTCTGTGTCATGGAGCTTAAATCCTGTCCCTGCTTTTCCAGCAGAATATTGCCAGCATGCTCTCACAGCTTTTCCAGGGCTGAAGAGGCTTATTGGGTGTATTTGTTCTGAAATGTCATGCAGTTTCTAACCTAGAATGAGACATCCAATGAAGACTGGATTAAGAGGAGTTTTTTTTGTTCAAGCATGTTGCTTCAGACAGTACTTTTGTCTATGAAACTAGCAATTCTAGATTTAATTTGGTGGTCATTTGGTGGTCAAGCTTATTTTTAATAAGCTTGTGTGGAATAGTGTCCTTCATAAGCAGTTTTATTTTTGACAGAGTAATTTTTAAAAAATACTGTGTGTAATTTTACATCTGTTTTATGTTATCCTTACAGATAAACAGAAATGCCCTTCGGATATAATACAAAGTTTTCAGAAGAAAAGTCAGTTTAGGACCATTGCTCCAAAAATGGTACCAAAATTTTTAACATCTGGAGTGGTTTCTTGCCTTCAGTCATCTTTGCCTGAGCCAATGACACCAATTTCAGCCTCAGGCTCTAAGCCCCTGGTGGTGCCAGCTCAGAACTATGCTGTCATGCAGGTGGCTGCTCACAAGGGCACCTTTTCCCTGCTGGCTGTGCCCTGTGTTGCACCTGCCCTAACTCAGCAAGTTCAGCAGTCAGCTGTGGCCCCCTCTGAAAACCTAAAGCTGCCCATCCCCAGGTACCAATCTGTAAGAAATAAATTGCTGAGTGACAAAAAACTGACACAAATCTCTGGTTTGAGTGCACGTAACAAGATTCTTACCAAAGCACTGACCTCATCACAGACTTCCCCCATGCCTGCTCTACATGAAGACTGTCCTGAAGCTCATTGTAGTTCAGATTCAGCTGAGCAAGGGATGGTAGCAGACTGTGACTCAGCTGAAATTGGAGTTGCCACATTAATGAATAAAAGCAATTGTGTGGAATCTAGATCTCTTTTAATGAACAAAGCTAAAATTGCTAGCAATAATATTTCTGGATCATCTGTAGTTGAAGACTCTCCATCCAAGCCAGCAAGTACAACTAATCCCATGAAACTGAGTCTACATTCTGTGAAGACAGCATTGGAAACCACAAGAGAGTCATTCCTGACATCTGAGAAACTAAAGGAAAAACCCACAAATTCTGCAAGTCCTGTTGCTGTCTTGTCACCGACAGTTTTTGGCAGTACAATTCAGATGACTCCATCAGCACCAAAAGGAAAACTTCCTATTTTGCCTTACTCCAGAATGAAAAATTCAGTGTTCTGTAAATCTAAGCAGAATATTAATGTTATGGACATACCTGATCATTCTCTAAAATCTGAATGTGAAAAGATTCCATTTTTGATGAAAACCAAAGCCTTTGATAAGCAAATAATCTCCAAACAATCCATTGGAGAAAACACTTTCTCTCCCTCCAGCAAAGAGGATGATGTCGACACTCTTAAAAACTTGAGCAGTGCAACCTCTAAAAGAAGAGGCAGGAAAAAAAGAGCCCCGGAAGATTTATTGGCTTTTCAGGCCAAGCGAAGGAAATGCATCATTAATAAGTTTAGAGAAGGAAGAGAGAGGGCCAAGGTTGATACTGAGGCACCTGAAGACAACAGAGCAGGAGCAGTGACACGGTACCGCAGCATCAGACCGAAGCCCGTGGTGCTTGTGCAGGCGCTCGCGCCGCTGACTCCCGCAGCCATCGTGGCGACGCCGTCTCGTGGGCAGGACTCCTTTTTCAATGGGTCACTCACCAATAAATGTGTGAGTTCCAAGCACAGTGATGCTGCATCAGCCAAATCAAGTGATCTAAGCAGAAATGCACGTTCAGCTGTCCTTAGGGTGGTGCACAGGTGCCATGTTTGTAACCACGGGTTCCGCTTAAAGCACCACCTCAAGGACCACATGAACACGCACACTAGGAGGAGGCCCTACAGCTGCAGGATCTGCAGGAAGGCATATATGCACTCTGGGAGCCTGAGCACCCATATGAAGCTTCATCACAGCGAAGGCAAATCCAAAAAGCTGGTGTGCTGTGAATTCTGTGCTAAAGTGTTTGGCCATGCCAAAGTGTACTTTGGGCACCTCAGAGAAGTCCACAGGGTTGTTATCAGCACAGAGCCCTACAGTAGTGAGCAGCAGGTGCAAGACACTTCAAAGAAGAGAGACAGGAATATAAAAGAGGCAGAAGAAGCTGCAGAGAGGTGAGAGTTTTCACTGATTAAATGCTAATGAAAACTGGATTTCAAGTTGTCAGTGGAAATTAATAAACCTCGCCACTATGAAAATTGTTGCTTTTTCCCACCAAGTGAGATTGCTAATAGTTTAAATATTCCATTTGAATCTAGTCAATCCATTAGACCAACCAGTGTATTTTAGCTGATTTACTGACTATAAATCATTATTGACACTTGAATATCCAAAATAAATTTGCATATAATCTAGTAACACCCGATATGCTGCCACATTTGGGTCAGTTGGTTTCTTGTAGCTAGTGCTTTGTCTTCTATCCTAGGGGTTTTCCCTAGAAGATAAAGGAACCAATTGCAATAAGCAAAAACCAATTCATATTTCAGTATTAGCCTGTAGTTTGCTTTCTCTGTTAAATATCATTATTCCACTTCCTTTTAGGGAGTGCTGTGAGCTAATCTGACCTGAGTTTAATGCTGCTTTTGCAGTCACTCAGCCAAGTAGAAAATTTAACATGTGCTGTATTAAGATGGAAAGAACATACTTTTACCTCTGTATTATGATTTTGAGATGAAATCTTTTGATAAAGTATAAATGTTGCCTTTTTTGTTTGTTCCAGTGCATTTATTTTCACTGAAGAACACTCAGGGCTTCAATGTAACTGCTCACTGCAACACTGCAGTTCCATTCTGCTCATTTTACTTTTCAGAGCTCCACTCTCTGGAGCAGCAATCAGAAACTTTTATGGTTTGAGACTAAGAAATACCAGTCCTCTCCTGTCAGTCTTAGTAGGTGTCACACAGTGAATCATTCAGTTTATCTGTTTTGTTGGGTAATCTGTCTAATATGTATAAATACACAGCATTATGAGGTCCTTCTTGTAGATGTTATGAGAGGATGAGTGAGGAGATCTTGTTTTGATTGTGTTAACCAGGGACTGCCTGTGTATCCTTTATATTACAGAGCTCTCCTAAATCAGTGGAGGGGCTGTCCAATTGCCAGTTAGGTATTTAAGCTTTTCTAAACCATGTTACCAACTTGTAGAAAAAAAAGGCAAGAAACTTTGAAATTTCATAGTTTCCATCTTGGAAAGGGAGGTGGTTTTGACCTAGATCACTCACTGTAAACAAATAGATTTCTCTTACTTGTACATTGCAGGTAATAGTAATTTTCACTTTTCTAGCACAGCACTAGAAGTATTTGGATTAACCTCCCTGAAACAGAACTTTAACAAAAGTTATCAACCTTTTATTAAAGGCTGGTGGTGTTAAAAGGTTATTTCTACCTAAGCTAATTTTGGAGGCAATTCTTAAACTCAGAAGTGTCATCACTTGGTTTCAATTTTTTCCCTAATCAGCCTTACTAGTATTTATTTAGCTTCTCTTTTTTTCCTCTTTCAAATGAATTAAATACTGTAGAAACAATGCCCTTTTTAAATTAAAAGTTGTTTCATGATTGTATCTTTTCTTGGAACTTGTAAGGACAGAAGTTGCCATTGCTCTTCTCTGCCTGGCTAATACTTAAATAGTTGGTATTTCCTTTCTTTAACAGGGGAGATAAGTGCAATTTTGAGGACCTGTTCCATGACCCAAGAGGAGTGAAATTACAGGTCAAATGTGGTCGATGCCAATTTATTGCAGAATCTTTTGGTGAAATGAAGTTTCACTTATTGTGCTGCCATGGAGAAGAGATTCAGGGAAGAGTGAAAGAAGAGGTTTTGCAAGAAAGCAGAGGAGCAGAAGGGAAACTGGTCAAACATACAAGCCACGTGTGGAAACAGCACAATGAGAGAAGACATTTAGCACAGTGCAGTGCCCGTCAGGAGGAGCTGTATAATGTTCCAAAACCAAAGAGACAGCTGTTCTTCCACCATCAAAATCATGTCAATATTATACCTAAAATTGAACCAACTCAGTCAGGAAGTAGTGAAGCTTCTGAGGAGATGCAAAATGTGGGGTTTGGCACACAAAGGAAAAAAATAGAATTTTGGTCTAAAGCAGGCTATAACTGCATCTTATGCAAACAGTTATTTGGAAGAAAAGAGGATCTTTGTAATCATTGGCAGAGTCATCATAATTGTGAAGACCCTTCCACTTTATGGACAATTTTTACTTTGGTATCAAAACAAGGAATTATTGAACTTTCTGATAATGGTGATTATTGAAGCTCAACTCTGCTATGCTATGAAAAACCTTAACTACCTTACCAAATTGTTCTTTCACTGTCTTGCTAAACTAACTCAACAGATGTATCACTTAAAAGGTTTTTTAGTTGGGTTTGTAGGGGATTTTTTAAAAAGCCATATTAACCTTTATTTTGGTGACTAGAAAATGTGTTTATTCTGTATCATTCCAGATGGGTACATGGAAGCTGATTATGAATCCTTGTACTTAAAATTCATGCTTAAGGAACTTTATAACAGCAAATATTCAATACTAATTATTAACCTCAATGAAATATATTTGCGAGTTAAACTATACTGTACACTCAGATATAAATCAATTTATATGAAGTAATCTCAGTCTTAAATGAAATTAAAAACTTGACTGGAATTCAGGTCCCGACAGTGCTCCCAGATTTTGTGGTAAATGCATATTTCCATGCAGTTCTCTCAATCACTTAAATGTGCATACATGCAGCCCTCAGGAGCATTGTAGTCTATAATTTAAGAACTTCTGATTTTTGATTTCATGATTTCAGTGTCTTCAAACATGTTCATTGCTAGCAGGTGTTTTTGGTGTTCAGTTCTGTCCTGGTAACAGCAAAGGTATTTGTATTTTAGAAGTAAAAGCTTCACATGTATTTATATGCCTGCAGCTTTTTGGGTTGAAGGTGAGTTGCCACCCACTGAGATGGAGCCCAGACATCTCCAAGGGGGCTGGGCCTGTCAGGCTGTGAGAGGGTGGAGTTCTGGAGCTTGATTTTGATTAAAAGGTCCTTGAAACCACTGAATCCAATTTGAAATTGATGTTTAAACTGCTTAAAGCCTTATGTTCCTCTAAATTATTTTGGGAGCAACAATGGAGGCAAGTCTAAGAAATCACCACATCATTCTCCAGCAGAATTCAGAGCATGTCAGGGGAGGGCAGGCTGAAAAATACAGCAGTAGTGTCCCTACAGTACCACTCTATTTATTCCTTCTTGTGGTCAGCTGTAATGGAGGGTTTGCAGTGATAAAAGAGCCATGCTTAAAATGGCCTGGCTTGCCTCTCACTGTTTTGCAAAAATTATGGTGATGAAAACATGAGAAGAGGTCTAAAAGTGTTGAGATTTCTGAGTGAAATTCCACAAGCTGCTGCAATATTTTGTGTATGTGTTTTGTTTTTAAACAGTAAAGGCAGTTTTGATTACCTAATAGTTTTGAATGTGATTTCTCATTGTGTGGTGCTTTGCCCTGGAGTTGAACTGTAAAGTAGGAATCAAGAATAACAAAAGACAAAAAGAAAATGCCCACAGAACTGTATTTTCCCATGTATTTTCAAAACTTTCGTCCTACTATCTGTTGCTATAAATTCAGATTTGTAGCTGTTTCTTTGCCTTCATATATTGGGTTTTTAATGCTGAATTACCTTAAAAGTAGTAATTGTTCTTATTCTTGACACATTCATCTTTTAATGTTACAATATATATTATACATTATTTATAATGTTACAATATATTCATATTTATTTTCACTGGTGTATTTGGATAAGAACAGCTATTTTTAAAGTCAGTGGTTCATATCAGACTGAGGCTGTATTTAACTTGGTAAAGTGTGTTGCATTTAGCAGCATTTTTTGCCCCTGCAACTTAATCCTTTAACTTTAAAAATCAAACAGCAGGGTGTTTTCCATGAAACAGAAATGTGAGAACAATCCCTCCCTCCCATAGTTGCACTGTGTCAAAGGGAAGTTCATTCTCAGCATAAAGCATGCATTTTATGAGTTGGGAAAAATCATTTAAAAGTTTTAATCATGGTATTTTTTTAGAATGAACATTAAATCACCCATCCCAAGGTATAGTTTAAAATGAGCTGACATAAATTCAGTACTGAGACAGAGTCCCTTCTGCTCAGGAGCAGCAGTAGCCATGGCAGAGTGGCCCTTTAAAATTATTTTCAAAGGTATTTGTTAAAAACAGTGGTGCATCAGAGGCAGTGATGTAGGTGATTTGCCTGGGGGTGGTCATCAGGCAGAAATGCACTTGCCCTGCAGGGGGAGGTGCAGGGATGATGGGAGGAAGGGGCTGGAGTGAGGGAGTCAGCTGCATTTTCTTTAGTAGAAAATTTCATGTGCAGTCTTCTCTTCATATTTTTGTACTTCTCTCCAGGCCAAATGGGTAAAGGGGTCTCAGCTTTCAGCAGTTTAAAACCTGAAAACATGTTTTAAAGCATGCTTCTAAGCCACTTCTCAGTGTCCTCATAAATGTTTAAAATTAGAAGCCTTTTTTTTATGAGCCTGAAAGCATTCTTATGTTTCAGGCTATTGCAATTATGGTAGATTATGAAAGGCTGGGGTTTTTTGAAAATAGCTTTGCATTAAATACAGATGTGTCCTTTATTTAAAATGTTTGTTTGGCATTTGTGTTCATTTTGATAAGATTTGGAGGCCCAAAGTGAGCCTTATGTACTGCAACATTTAGTGGTGTGTGTTTGCTGTCCAGCAGAAGGGTTGTTATAAATACAGTTTGCTTTTTACCTTGAAGCTGGACAAGTTAACATCTGGTTTTGCACACAAATTATGTTTTTAAATTGTTAAACCGAATGTCATTGTTTTTGTAGCTGTAGTTTTGTTCCCGTCTGATTTTTCATTAAGTTTCAGCTCCACTGTTCAACTTTAAAGCCGTTCCTCACATGGAAAGTTGTTCCTTCATCATCACACCATAAATAACCAAAGCTGGAGGAGTTCCATCACTTTTCTGGCTTGCAGAGTATTGCCCTTCTCCAGCTGCAGAGCTACAGTTTCCTATGCCTAACTTGACATAGTTGCTGGCAGTAAATGTTTTGCTTCATTTATTTATTAGAATTCAGCTTGCTGCTTCTTAGCTCAGTCAGAGTTTCTGTCATACCTCATTAGATACTTATTTTTATTTTATCTACTATTCACTGAGCTCCTTGAAGAAAGTGTCATAAGAAGGATGAACAGGTATTTAAAGAAGCAGATTTCTGCCCATTTCATGCAGATGATGCAGATGTTTGAGGATCACCAGCTTATCTAGGCTCAGCCCTGTAGTACATTGTATTTCTACAACACATCCACCTACACGTGCATCTATTTTGGAACAAAATGTATACTTCAGATTCAGCTGTCAGTTACTATTATCCAACCTGTGCAATGCAGGTTTGGGATTGTTATGCATAAAGATTAAAATGCTATTAACTCTAGTAGGTTTACTTGTCAAATTCCTGTAGCTCTGAAAAATGAAAATCTCTGTGTGCTGAGTATGACACAGAAAAAATCTGGTCTCATGAAGAAAAGTCTCGTGGCTTAAAGGTTGTCCTCATTTCAGCGTGCACTTTTATAGCTGATCTGTCACATTGCAGGATTTACTCCACTTTTTATGGAATTGCCATGATTTTTCTTGGTGAGGAGTACTGAAGACCTGAGTCTGCAAGCAAGTTTCAGAGAAAAATGTGTCTCCTTTTTCTAAACAAGCAGACATGTTCCATGGACTCAAAAGTCTTGGTGGGATTACATACATACATGCATACATACATACGCACATATATATGCACAGTGTGGGGAAACATGCAAGGTTTGTGGTTCAGTGTATGACTCCATGAGGCTGAGCCTTCTGCAGTTTTCAAGTTCTCAGAAACTAGAAATTTCAGGGCAAAAATAACTCAGTTTTCAGACTTGGGTGAATTTCTAATACCTTATTGACAAACCTTCAAGAAATCCTGAAAAATGGCAATAACATACTTCTCTATTTGTGCTTTGTTAGGCAGTTTTTTGGACGTGGTGGTACCAGAGGTGGTGTAAAATGTGATACTGCTGATGCTGTCGAGTACAAAGGAAGCTTTCTCCCTTTCATTTTTTTTTTAATTTTATTGACTTTTCTGTGTAAGCATTAGAAATGATGGGATGAATTATGATTTTTGCTGCTGACAAACCCAGAAACATCATTCTGAAGTTACTTTGCAGAAACCTCCCATTTTCATCTAGAATAACAGATGAAACCAGAAAAAGCAAATTCTATAGGAAAGAGGTGGGTGAGCAAAGTGTTCCATATGAGGCTTGCTCTGCACACTTACACTGCTGTGGGTGATGTTTAGAGAGGACAGGTCTTCTACTGATGGTACAAACAGTTTGTTCTTACCCAGAGTTACTTAGCTTGGCCCAGGGAAATAAGAATTAAAAAATGTCCATGCCTTCTCTTTTACTTGAATTTTTCTGCTAATAGTTCTGCTGTTGTGCCAATCCAGATTGTGGTCCAAGCCATGAAGATACTCAAGCACTTTCTAGGGGCCTTAGAGCAGATTTCAGTGGAGGAAAGGGAAGGAAATGTGTGAGGGAAGGAGTGATGATGGAGGTTGGCACAGTGTTTTTAATGTAAGTTCAAGCTTCTGTATGACTGGCCTGTGGTGGAACTGTCCTGGAGCCTTAAACTTCTCTATTCCACCCCTTTGTTCCATCCTTCCAGACTCTGCTTCCATGTGAGGTACCTCAGTCTGGAGCTCCCTCAGCTTCCTTAGGGATGAGCTTTTCCAAATGGCACAGATTCCTTTGCCAATGTCCTCTCCTTTTGGTGTCTCAGTTACATGCTGGTAGCTGGGTGAGCCACGTGCTGGCTGCTGAGACCAGCTGCTGCCAGATGTGCAATGTGGTTGTTCAGCTTTCTGAGGAAAACATCTCTTAGCTTTAGTCCCTAAAAATGAAATCAAAAGCTGCATCTGTGCTTAAAAAAGCAGGAAAATGGTTCATTGCAGATGCAACACTGGTAAGTAGTAGGGTAATAAGTGAAGTGTTGCTATAAGAAAAAGCAGCTGCTGAATGTGATTTGGGGTATTTATGTGCCATTGTAAAAGACTAGAATGTCCTGTCACCTGGTTAGAATTGAAGAACAGAATCACAGAAGTTCCATAAAAGTGTCTCACACAGATACAATGGCATAAAGCAGCAGTTCAGAGACACTGGGAGTGAGATCTCACCCTGCCTTGCCTTGCTTTGCCTCACCCTGCCCCTCTTTTTCATCACCCAAAGCCTGGGACTGGGTAGCTCTGACCACTCTTTTGCAGAATGTGTCAGGAAAACAGGTTACAGGGGATGCTGGGCCAGCCTCCTGTCCAAAGCAGGCTTAGCAGCAGCCCAGGAGCAGAGCAGTGGTTTTTGCTTTTTGGAAGCCACTTCTGTTGCAGTTCCCACTGGTCCATTGTGAGGGTCGTGAGTGTAAACAAGGCTCCAGTGTGTGAGCTGACACTTCAAGCACTGTCACAGGCAATTTTTTTACCTTTTTTGAAGAAAACATGATATTTGAGACAAAAACATCCCCACAACCCCAGATAAAGTCCTAGTTTCAGCTGGCAGTCCTTCAGTAAGTGTGAGCTTCTCTCAGCACACCCCCTGGCTTTGCTGCTTCAGGCCATGGCCAAGCCTCTTGTCTGTCCATGTGAAACAGCTCATGCTCCTTTGACTCTGCTTTTTCTGGGACTGCAGACTCCCTACTTTTCACATGCAGTGAATAGACTACTTTTTTTTCCCCCTACAGTTGATTTAAGGTAAAAATAAAGCATTTTATTTCCTGAATGCTCAGTAATTTTGTGCAGCTTCAGGTTTAATCTGGCTTTTGAACATACACCTGATCAAGGAGATCATAAACTTTCCTATTGCTAGGAGCAGTAAGTGACACAGTGAGGGAGGAAAGAAATAAATGTCCCTGTGACAATACCTTTGAAGGAATGCAGTTGCTTGCCTTTCAGGGGAAGTTTAATTTCTTCATGTTTTTAGTTAAAAGCTTCTAATAATTTTAACTGCAGCAAATACACTCCTATACTTTGCTATTCAAATAAATCCTTTTTCAGCTCCAAGTCCTTGGAGTTTGAATCCTGTCCAGCCATATTCTGCTATCTGCCAATTCCTTGCTAAGTGCAAACCCGACACACTTGCCAATAAATCCACCTCTGTGCCATTTAAAGTCATCTGCTCTCTTTTCTCTGGAGCTAATCAAAGTTTGAAAGAAGACTTTTTTTTTAAGGGGAACCGGCTCTAGGATTCAACCAATTTAAATTTCAAGGTAATTAAAAGAAATTGCAGTGAACTATAAAATAGAGAATTGGTACAGACTGTTTGAAAGCCCACTTATTTTTAATCTCTTTTATGAATATTTGGGGACAAAGTTTTCTAGGGTAGAATTTAGGAGGTTTATGCTGTTTTACATGCTACTCTCCTAATCCACTTTTTAGACTCCCAAGCCCAGGACAGCAGAGCCCAGCCCTGCTCCTTAAGTTGATTGCAGCCTGTTAAACTGAAAGCACCATTTTATTTTTACCTTGTGAGACAGCTGGGCTGATAAATGGATGGGATACCAGCACTACAGGAGACAACTGCAATGT